GGGGTTGTGTGTTTTAAATGCCTGCACCAGATTTTAGTGAATGGCTCCATAGTGTTGGGATGTTATCCATGTGATTTGGCAGCATTGCCTTAGCACAGGCAACACACCCTAACAAAGCTGTACTGCCATAGCTGAGAGACGCGAAGGACACATCCCAGTGGCTGAATCAACCGAAACTAAGTTCTCTTGCTTGTAGTGATTGGCACTGCAGCAGGAACTGGAATCATTGCTTATGTTGTCTTGGCAACTGGAATATGAATCATTACATGGACACAGAGGCATAGCTGTAAAAAATAACAGCAACGACTCTTCCATTTTGATGTAGCCCTCCAAAGTATTTCTATGTTTCTCTATTATATGTACTAACAGAGATGAGATGGATTACTTTCAGTCATTGCCTTTAGACCTCTGGTCCATTATGTACAGATGTCAGAGACTGAAGCTGGGTTCATCTGCATATGACATCTGTGCTGTAACATGATTTCTACTTCCATAAAATCTTTTTGTTTTCCCGTCAAAAAGACAGTCCTTCTACCTAGACAAACGTAATTAGGAAGAAATTCCATTGAATACAATGAGACTTGGAATATGTGGCTAATTTAAACATGGTTATTTGGCAAAAATAATTATTTAAGGTAGCATAGCAGTGGTTGGAGATAAATGTATGCTTCAAGTTGAAGGGATTTGTATTGTTGGATGACACGCAAGTTCTATGGAGAAGAAGCAACAGCAACAGTGGTTCCGTTTTGTATTTTCATTTTTAACCCATTTTTATTTTCATGGCCCAGCTAGGTGGGAACCCCTAGCCAAACTTTACTGATCTTCAAAAAACAATCTGGGATCAAACCAAGTTAGTATCTGGATGGGAGACCATCAGGAAGTCTTTGAGATGTAGGCTGCATTGGAGATTTGAAAAATCATCCCAAAAGTTGTTAATGGCAAACCACCTCTGTATTGTTGCCAAGACGACTACCTGAACATGTCCATGAGGTTACTAGAAGATGAGTTTGATTATATGTTATTTCATTGCCTTCCCTCAGTCTTGTGCTTATAACTTCATGTATACTTGCTTTCTCATCAACTGCTTCCCACAGCTCTGATTTGGTATCAGTTGTGATAAAATGTATGCATGTATGCTTAAAAATAAATCCCACTGGATATAATGGGATTTACTTCCCAGAAAAGGGGTATATGATACAGTCTTAAACTTCCAAAAGACCAAATCGTCCTGAATATTGATTCCAAATTTTGACCTAACTACTGCTTACGTGATGTTGACAGGTATGTTGACAGTTCTCCCTCATGCTGGAAGTGACCTTATGTGGAATTTAGGACAAATACACAACATACTCATATGCTTTTTGGGGTATTTTGTTGAAACAGACCAGTTTTATTGTGTTTTCATATTTTGGGGTAGTGCATTGCCAAAGCAGACACTAGGCCTTTAAAGAAGCACAAGTAGATTGATCCATACTGTTCTGTGACTGCCATGACAATAGAATGAAATGTGTTTAATGACCTGGAAGAATTATTAGCTGCTTCTCAAATAGCTGAATAATATAAGAAATTGAAATACATTCCTGTGCAAGTCTAAAATAGTCCCATTATGACCAGTGGAATCTTATTCCCAGATAAATGGGTATCACATTGCAGCAGGGGAAGACATTCTCCCATGGGGATAAAATCATACTTAAAGTATATCCGATTAATTTCTCCATGACAGGGTAAAGAAGGACCAGTATAAAATTGACCTTTTTACCTAGGAGCAATGCCATTTTATTTTTAATTTCTTTTTTTCTGCCAGGCCATGTGGTGCTTTTAACACCTTGGTTAAAAAAAAAGAAAAAGAAATTCAATTGAGCATTCCTTTCCTGCCAAGTGACAGGAAAGGATTTACTACTGAATTACTCGCAGTCATTCTGCAATTAAAGATATGCAAACTCTGGAACCCACAAGATTATGTGCATATAATTACTTGCTGAGTAGTATTTGGTTTGGGGTTTTTTTTGGGGGGGGAGGGTTGCATGTATTTACCAAAAGACACATAGGTAGTCCTTGTTTAGTGACTGGCTCAGACAGTGACCATTCGCAGTTATGACAGTGATTAAAAAGTAACTTTGCAACCAGTCCTTGCGTTTATAACCTTTCCAGGTATATAAAGCAAAGGAAAGCTGAAGCAAGCACATTGGCAGTTTCATGTAGCAACCACTTCACTTAATGACTGAATTGCTGGTCCCAATTGTGGTCACTAAATGAGGACTACCTGTATTCACCAGAGCCCTGCTCAGTATGAGCATTTTTGTTATATTAAAAGAACTGACCAGCAACAACCCAATGAATTAGAGCCACTTTATTTCTATCACAACACTCTACAATCGAGTACCCTCCAGATGTGTTGAACTTCAACTCCCATAATTCCTAGCCAATATGGTCATTGGCCCCGCTGGCTACAGAGTGAGCTGAACACTCTGAAAAGATAACAGATTGCTGAAGGCATTCTGGCAAATGATAGCATTCTTAATGTCCAGATTTTGGGGGGGGGGGGTGTAAATAGTGCAAGTCCTATTCAGGTATTCAAAAATCTGGAGCACTCCTGTTAAGACTGCAGGAGAGAAGCCAATGCTTTGATATGAGATACAACTTTGTCTCATTGGGAGTTGGGCAGCATATAAATTTGATGATGATGATGATTAACCTTCATAATGGCTTAGTTGGAAAACATTGATATAAATGTTCCCTCAGAAGTTTCTCACATGGAGATATCAGATGGGGCTTACAGGAAGTGCTCCAATTTATGATCATAGACCAAAGAAAGGAAGTAAAATACAGTAAAGCGTTAAATAAAAGGGATTCATACAAGAAAAAGAACAAATAAATATAAGCTGTAAGGCCAGATTCACACCCAGGTCTTCCAGTGCTGATTGCAGTTGAACAGAATTCAGCTTTTTATGAAGTTATCACTGAACTGATCCAATAAGTAACCCCAAATTTAACATCATCTGAACAGTGCTAGCAGGGGATACCACATGATGAATGCCCTGGATTTAAGAATGTGCACGTAGAACTCTTAAGAGCCTATGTTTCAGCCTTAAATTTTAAAAGTGCTTCATTATGAATGGATTGAGAGGAAGAGGAAAAGCAAGAAAGTCATGGCTGGACAACGTTGATGAGTCCCTGAAAAACAGAGAGATGAGGAATTTAAAGAATGAAAGATAAATGTATGAAGAGGTATGTGCATGTGATGAAAGCAAGGATGCGCTGCACGTATGGAGAGAATGAACGGTGTCAGTGTAGATGATGTTAATTCCTTTTTTTCCCTCTCTTGTCTTTATTTTTTAGCTTAGCATTTTTCCCGTATACTCTGCCTAACTTTGCCTGTCACAGAAAGGAATCGTGTGTATGTATGCTTCCTTACTTTTCCTTATATGTTGTATTTTACAGCTTTTTGGAGCATTTGTATGGATACTGGTTGCTGCTACAAAAGTTCCTTTGCCGCTGCTGCAGGGCTGGGTGATGTTTGTATCTGTGACGGCCTGTTTCACCTCCATCTCCTTCCTTTCGGTCTTTCTCTTCAGTTATCGAGAGAGAATTGCCATCGATTGGAACCGTCTGGTAAGCATTTAAAAGGCTGCAAGTTAAAAGCTGGGAAACGAATGTGCCAGTCCAGTGGCATTTCCAGGACTGGATTGGCACATTTCACAAAACTGCAGGGGGGTTGGTTTGGTTTTGGCATGCTGTGTTGTTTAACATATCCACTGTGTTCTGCAAACCATGGTTTATGGCTTAATGTGATGTTCGAATTCAACAGTTGCAGATTAGTAACCCAAACCATAATTAAATCTAACTATGGCTTGGGGCAATGTGTGGAGTCAATCAGTGTTTAAAAACGTGTCACAACTTCAACCTGATCCTCATATGTCAATCTTCTCCAACTGGGTATGCTGCAAGTATATTAGACCTAAGGAGTCTCAGGCATTCATCATGGAATGCTCCTTCCCCACAACTAGCTGGTCCAAGTATCCTGGGAGTTATGCAGTCTTGAAAAGTATTATGACCAGGATGCGTAAAATACTCCAGAAGAGTTGAAACATATAGTATATTTTGAGATAGAGCCATTTGTGGAACATTCCGAATGGTCCATTCTGAGAGTTTGCAACCAGACATCCCATGGTAGAACATTTGGCATACTCCTAGTTAAAATGACAATTCTCTGTCATAAATTGCAGTCCCAGGTCTCCTGGAGGATGCTGTCAGCCATTCAAGGTAGACCAGACTAGGAAACCAAAGTTATGAATGCTAATACTATTTTCATTATAAGGTTACAGTAACAGAATCTTGCAAGTCTGAATATACTTTCCCCCTTCCTCCCTTTATCTTCATGAGAACTAGGGAGAGTCATGTCTGAGACGTGTTCTCAAATTACATTTCTGCCTTGGATTCAGAATTCTTTTATCTGACCATTATCTTAGCTCTTCCTCCTATTCCCCAAAGTTCTTCCTTCTTCTCATTACAGATGCCAAGTTAGAGAAGATTCATATTTAGTCTTAGGCCGAACAATCAACGTACATGCTGAAACAGTGCTTTTGAAAATACTGTGTTAGTCTTGGATCTAGTACAGTGAATCAATGGGATTAACAGAGCAGATCCTCCTACTCTTAATAAAAGACAGCTGTTTTTTGTTTTTTTAAAAAAAACGTAGCTAGAAATGGTTTGTCACTGCCCAGTGTGTTGCTGTTAAGTATTGCAAATGAAAAAATCTACATGGCTGATGTAATAAGAATGGCTTACTAACGCATGTTCTGCACATACGTTTTACCTGTAGTGAAAGTTTTCTTGAATTACTGTTTTTGTGGGTATTGGGGAGACCACAGAAAGGACTGAAGGAAGCTGAGGCTACTTTTAAAAATGGCAGTTATAAGGAACTACTCAGGAAATTGCTGAGTATACAGGCCCAAATCCAAAAGAATTAACCATGCTATAAATCCAGAGGATGAGCAATTCCATTAATGTCATTGTGGCTTATTGATGTGTAATTGTTAACGTTGGTGCAAGCATTTGAACTTGTAAAGACGGAATTCGGGATGATTTACTTCTGTGTTCTTTTAATGCCATTGTTGTAGCTTCGGTTTTGTTTGTTTATTCTTGTTTGGGTTGAGTGGAAGCATTGCAAGAGCACCTTTGCTCTGGAAAGCTGTAAGCTCACAAGATAATTTAACCTTAATTCTGCCTTTGTTTGCACAGCAAACAAGGAAAGACCAATGCTCAGTATTAAAGTGAACAATGAAATTTAAAATGCCCCTGGTAAGGTCTGCTGTGTCATGAGCCTTTCAACGCTGGTTTGCCGAATTTTTGTTTTAAAAAATCCACATGAAAATCCATATGTATTGGCAGGTATATCGCTCCTGACATAATTTTCCCCCTATTTTGCAACTGTACCAAATGTTGGTATCAGTTTTCTTCTGTTGTCATGCATTCTTGTACATAATGGTATCCAAAGGATACCCTGATCCGTAGATTCCACTAATAGATGTTCAAGTTTGAGGAAAGAACTGCATTGGAAAAGGTAAAGATGTGGAAATTCTTAAGGCTAGCTTGGCTTTGGTTCCCATCTGTGGATCAGGAAATGCAAATTAGATAGACTTGTATTAAACTGAACAAATGTTTCTTCCTCTTCCTGGGCTTCATACAAAACATCCCTGTCTGCTGTAGGGTTTGTTGTGTTCAGAGATGAGACAGGAACTGTTTTGAGGGATACAACTGAAGTCAACATTCTGTTCACAATCATCCTCAGGCATTTACAGAACAACCAGTGAACCTCTACAGGACGCTCACCACTAGTTTTACTCATGATCTCTGGTATAAGCACATTTTGATCACCTTCTGGAAAAATCAATAGGTTGTGGGCCATCTAAACTCTCCATTTTTTCCTACTCTTTGCTTTCGGTTTTTTAAACCAGTTAGCAGTCAATGAAAAGACAGATCTTCTTCTTCTATGACGATAGGTTTACCCAAGATAAGAGAAAGTTCCTTATCAAGGGCTTTTTGAAACTCTAAGTCAGTGTTGTCCAAACTTGGCCACTTTAAGATGAGTGGACTTCAACTCTCAGAATTC